GCCATGTACTAATCGAGGAAGTTGGCCGCGAGGTGGGTAAACGTCGCAGCTAATGAGCTGACACGTACGGCAGCGAAAGATAATGTGGCCAGTGCTTACCCAGACGTAGCGTGTGTCAGTGTGTGAGGTGCTGCGGTAGTCTGTAAGACAGGGTGCAAAAAGCCACATCACTTGATATTATAAAGCTTCGGGGACTGTTTTGGGTTATATAATAAAAAAAAAAAAAGTAAATTGAAAAGAGCTATAACAAGTATAGGAAAAGCAACAGGCATGTGGGATGTGGGATGGAAAGGATAATTATAACGTCATCTTCGCTTCTGAAATATAGTGCTTAACCCTCACATGGAACAGTAGACACAAAAAGTATACAGCTTGACGGACATATGGATTTTATGGCAATGGTTAGGTTAGTTGCGTATCATTTACAGGAGGTTGCAAAACCAACCCCAACAGACCTTGGCTGTTGTGTGGTTTTTCTAGGCAAATTTACGTCCAGTAGTTTGCCATTGCTTCCTGTAAGGTCGGCTTTCTTGATACCACTGTCGAAACCAACGCAAGGCGCATGGCCCGCAGCTGGGATCGAACCCGGCATCCTGGCATTACGAAGCGTTCGCATTGACACTGCCACAGAGCCGATATATTTATATATATATATATATATAAATGTAAAACACATCATTTAAAATTTGTATTATTACTACTACTACTATCGCTGAAAGTTAAACAAGGATCAGATACCTAAATGCCCTCTCACTGTAATCGAGCTGAACGCTCTGTCACAATGTGGTTGTTTTCCCCCGTCAGTTCCCCTGGTACTATACGTGTCTTTCCTAAGTGAATACAGTTTGCAAAGTAAAGCCTCCGAGGACATACAGTTGTTCACATACATAGTGTACATAAGAAACATCTTTTATCCTGAAGCATAAGATGTCCTTGAAGTAACGTGTCATTATTCCTTAAAATAGTCACCATGACGTTCTACACACACACACACACATACACACACACGCGCACACACACTCACACATACACACGCACACACACCGTAAAATCAAGCCAGCTGTCGTGTAGCTGTCGAAAAATAAGAAACGAACAAAACAAAAAAAGCCGACGATTTTTCAGGAAAACAATAAAGCACATGGACTGGCACTTGCTAGTCAGAAGCAAATCTGTGTCCCTTGAGATGTTGGTTGCGTTTTGGAAACAGAAACAAGTCACAAGGTTCCATATCAGGACTACATCCTGGATGCGACCAAATGTCAAAGTTGAGACGAGACGCTCCTATGTTTCTCTAGTTTGTTTACTCGTGTGTAGGCGAGCGTTGCCATTTCGAAAAACTGCCTGTTTCTCAGGATTAACAGGCAGACATCTTGCTCGTAGTGTCTACAACGTTTCCACATAGTGATCAGCAAGACTGTATTGCCCTGCGTTTAAAAACTGCTGCTCTTATTACGACTTGGCAATCTAAAAAGATTGTCACCGACGTGCCGACCTTGAACTGTTCTGGGGTAAATGAGTTCTTCTGCCTGTAATCCATAGCTTGGGGCATCATTTCAGGGTAGAAGTGATGCACCCATGTCTCATCGCCAGTGACATTTCAGCATATAATGGCATCAACTTCCGTTTCATTACGCGTCAGATGTTCCTGAAACTCCTGCTCTTGCACGGGTTCTTCTATGTCCACATATGACAAGAAATATGCGATGTACACCCTCAGTAGAAATCCCAGCCATGGAGACGCCACATTTAAGCTTGGTCGAGCGATTGTAGGTTCATTGACACGAGCTTGGTGTTGTTTTATCCATAGCTGTGATCGGAAGTCCTCTGCAAGTCTGATCATGCAGGTCCGTCTAGGTTGAATTGTTGCCTTTTAAAATCATCACCCACCTCCTGACAGTTCTCACATCCACGCAGGCGTCACAATATACCGCTTTCGTTCTTCGCCGCAACTGGATTGGTACACAACCTTCGGTTGTCGAGAATTCAATAACAGCTGGTTGCTTGAACACAAATTTCCATGTATGTCATCAAATTGGTCACTGTTGTCCGGACGGACTACGTTTCGAAACACGTGACCTTTGATGTCTTGAAAATCACTTATACAGTATTCTCACATTGTCATCATGTGCCGCAGGGCGATATTAACAAGTTATATGATTGGAGACTTTACCGTCTAAACCACCCTTGTATGTTTACATAGTCCAGTGGTGAAATAACTGAGTCATGCGCCTAGCGTGATGAGTACTTTTGGTTTAGCTTCACACTCAGTCGTTTGCTTCACTGATGGCAGTGTCTCGGAGACTATTCAAGGTCATCACTGGCAGGATAGTAATGATATCTAGCTTTGCAGGCCGTTTGCTAATTCATTATATTTAACCTTTGTATTGCTACAGTCAGTCTTTTTCTGACTTCTTGTGTGCAGTCGCCATTGTTGTCGACTACTGAGCCCAACTATTCACAATCTGTGACATTTTCAATTTTTTGGTTATCCATTTTAATACAAGGTTGGTGTCTTGCATTCATTGTGGACGTTGTTTTTGTTCCCTTCAAATTCATTGACAGTTTCTCTTCTCCACTGTATTTCTAAATAACTTTCCCCAGCCCTGTGCACAGTTGAAATGGAGAACTGTATCGTCTCAACTTGGCAGTAGTCACACATATATCTATGAGAACTTTTACCATACTATTGAATGAATGTATCGAAGCTCTTCTATGTATGAATCGATTCATGTTAATGTTCATATCAATTACACTGAGACTACAAGACTTTCTAGAATCGTAGACAGAATAATAAATCTATTAGAAATTCAAACATCTGTGACCTTCTCTGCAGTCGCAGACAGATAAATAAATATATTATAAATGAGGAATTCGGTATCCACCTTCTGCATTCGAAAAACAGTTAATAATTCTCTACTATAAAACTGAAAATCCACATGTCTGATTGACTGTGTTTCTCCCTTCTGTTTCACACAAGCTTCTGCCCAACGGTAGCCAGTAAACATAAGTTGTCTCCATTTACATGCCGGTGGCGCATGAGGCATACGAGGCTACTCATATTTGTATAGACCAATAACACGTAGGTGATGTGATCAACATCACGCCTGTCGCCTTTACTTCTCAGAACTTCAGCTGGTACCAATTTAAGGTTGGGTCGACCTGGGAGCCAAGGTCATGACTGGTGGGGATAAAACATCCCAACGCCATGTGTATTTGATCCCTCGACCTTAGAATCCACAGGTTAGCTTCTAGCCTTTACACAGCAGCGGCTTTCAACGGTAACCAGTAAAAGGTTGACATCTGCAGATATGTCATTCTGACTACAATGTCTAGATCAGCGGTCCAGTTTGCAACAAGATTTCTACTCACTTCTCATAATTAACGCCACATGCACTAGAAGTTAAGCTTCGCTTTAGTTATATCCATTCAGTTACAGTTTATTTACATCCCTTGAAGAAATTAGTTTAAAAACATATTTCGCTTTTACCTCTCTCCAGGCTTAAAGCCTGAAATCTCCATAAGCATGTGTGTGTTCGTGTTCTGACCTTATTCCATGCCGGGTCAAAAGACTTTCAATAAAATTGTTGCGTTGTTTTCCTCTCTCTCTTTTCGCCCCAAATAGTTCCAATGGTCACAGTTTGTTCCAACTTCTGTCTTCTCATAACGTAGAAAATAGTTTTGTACATTTTCTTTGAGCCCTAGTTCCAACTAAGAGTTAGTTGCGTCTTTGAGCCCTAGCCCCCCCCCCCCAAAAAAAAAAAAAAGATAGTTGCGTATCCTTTACAGGACGCTGCAGAACCAACCCTAGCATATTTTTTTTTTGGCTATTGTAGTTTTTCTAGGCAAATTTACGTCCAGTAGTTTGCCATTGCCAGCTGGACGGTCGGCTTCTCGATACCACTGCCGCAACCAACGCAAGGTGTAAGGCCTGCAGCTGGGATCGAACCCGGCACCCCGGCATTATGGAGCACATTCGCAACACATAAACCACAGACGCAGACTTTAATCTCTGGACACTTTCAAATCATCAGTGCTACCAGTCTTGGCAGTCCAACAAATTCTATGCATTGTTCTCTAAATTCACATTTTCAGGTGCTAAAGAAAGTTTTCACTTCCTGATGACTGTTTTTGAGAGACAGTGAGAGAAAAGCTCCAACTTGCTCTGAATTCACCAGATTTCAGTTTGTAAAAACAGTTCACTAGGAAAATAGTCATCCTCTGGTTTCTCTCAAACCATGGGTGACAGAACTTGAAGGATGAGATCCCATGAGCCACCACCACATCCCACATGGTTATTCTTCGGTTTCTCTCAAACCATGGGTGACAGAACTTGGAGGATGAGACCCCCTGAGCCACCACCACATCCCACATGGTCATTCTTCGGTTTCTCTCAAACCATGTGTAACAGAACTTGGAGAATGAGACTCCTTGAGCCACCACCACATCCCACATGGTCATTCTTCGGTTTCTCTCAAACCATGGGTGACAGAACTTAAAGGATGAGACCCCCTGAGCCACCACCACATCCCACATGGTCATTCTGCGGTTTCTCTCAAACCATGGGTGACAGAACTTGGAGGATGAGACTCCTTGAGCCACCACCACATCCCACATGGTCATTCTTTGGTTTCTCTCAAACCATGGGTGACAGAACTTGGAGGATGAGACTCCTTGAGCCACAACCACATCCCACATGGTCATTCTTCGGTTTCTCTCAAACCATGTGTGACAGAACTTGGAGGATGAGACTCCTTGAGCCACCACCACATCCCACATGGTCATTCTTCGGTTTCTCTCAAACCATGGGTGACAGAACTTGAAGGATGAGACCCCCTGAGCCACCACCACATCCCACATGGTCATTCTGCGGTTTCTCTCAAACCATGGGTGACAGAACTTGGAGGATGAGACTCCTTGAGCCACCACCACATCCCACATGGTCATTCTTCGGTTTCTCTCAAACCATGGGTGACAGAACTTGGAGGATGAGACTCCTTGAGCCACCACCACATCCCACATGGTTATCCGCTGTTTTCTCTCAAACCATGGGTGACAGAACTTGGAGGATAAGACCCCCTGAGCCACCACCACATCCCACATGGTCATTCTTTGGTTTCTCTCAAACCATGGGTGACAGAACTTGGAGGATGAGACTCCTTGAGCCACAACCACATCCCACATGGTCATTCTTCGGTTTCTCTCAAACCATGTGTGACAGAACTTGGAGGATGAGACTCCTTGAGCCACCACCACATCCCACATGGTCATTCTTCGGTTTCTCTCAAACCATGGGTGACAGAACTTGAAGGATGAGACCCCCTGAGCCACCACCACATCCCACATGGTCATTCTGCGGTTTCTCTCAAACCATGGGTGACAGAACTTGGAGGATGAGACTCCTTGAGCCACCACCACATCCCACATGGTCATTCTTCGGTTTCTCTCAAACCATGGGTGACAGAACTTGGAGGATGAGACTCCTTGAGCCACCACCACATCCCACATGGTTATCCGCTGTTTTCTCTCAAACCATGGGTGACAGAACTTGGAGGATAAGACCCCCTGAGCCACCACCACATCCCACATAAATTACGCATGGTGGAGGATCTGAGCTCACTTCAGCCAATGTTTAAAGGAACAATGCAACACCAAACCAGATATAGAAGTTCTTTTATGAAGTATTTGTTTCTTCATTGTATATTATTTCGCATATTATTTCACATATTATTTCACATAATATTTCACTTATTATTTCACGTCATATTTCACATATTATTTCACGTATTATTTCACATCATATTTCACATATTAATTCACATATTATTTCACATATTATTTCACTTATGATTTCACATATTATTTCACATCACATTTCACATATTATTTCACATATTATTTCACTTATTAATTCACATATTATTTCACATATTATTTCACATAATATTTCACATAAAATTTCACATATTATTTCACATATTATTTCACTTAATAGTTCACATATTATTTCACATAATATTTCACATATTACTTCACATATTATTTCACATATTATTTCACAAATTATTTAACTTATTATTTCACATATTATTTAGCATATTATTTCACATATTATTTCACATATTATTTCACATATTATTTCACTTTTTTTCCCACATCATATTTCACATATTATTTCACGTATTATTTCACATATTATTTCACATATTAATTCACATATTATTTCACATATTATTTAACTTATTATTTCACATATTATTTCACTTATTTCACAAATTATTTCACTTAATAGTTCACATATTATTTCACATAATATTTCACATAATATTTCACAAATTATTTCACTTATTATTTTACATCATATTTCACATATTATTTAGCATATTATTTCACACATTATTTCAAGTATTTTTTCACATCATATTTCACATAATATTTAGCATATTATTTCCCATATTATTTCACATCGTATTTCATATAATATTTCACTTCTTATTTCACATATTATTTCACATATTAATTCACATATTATTTCACATCACATTTCACATCATATTTCACATATTATTCCACATATTATTTCACATATTATTTCACATATTATTTCACATAATAATTCACATATTATTTCACATATTATTTCACATATTATTTCACATCATATTTCACATATTATTCCACATATCATTTCACATATTATTACGTATATTTGCTTGCCACTCAGCGCATTATCTATATCTTCTCTTAGAAGATTTCTAAAGAGGCTGAGCCTCTCAGTGGCTTCTTTGTGTGGGTGCTTTTACCTACCCACGTTCCTGTCATCACTATCTGACCGCGGGACCGGACAGCTCGCTCTGTGTCAGGGATCCTACCCTGACTACGTCCCTCTCATCACTCTCTGACCGCGGGACCGGACAGCTTGCTCTGTGTCAGGGATCAAACTCTGACTACGTCCCTGTCATCACTATCTGACGTATGGACCAGACAGCTCGCTCTGTGTCAGGGATCCTACCCTGACTACGTTCCTCTCATCACTATCTGACCACGGGACCGGACAGCTCGCTCTGTGTGAGGGATCCTACCCTGACTACGTTCATCTCATCACAATCTGACTGAGAACCGGACAGCTAACTCTGTGCAACATGACCGTCACGAAATACTAAACTTCTCATGCAACTTTCGAATTTAAAATCATCAAATGTTTTGTTATAAATGATAATTTTTATTTAATTTTTTGTGTGTTTCGCAGGAAAGTGCAAGAAGAAAAAGGTGAAAGAAGAGAAAAAGAGTCTAATAATTGGCCCTATGCTCAGGAAGAGGAGCCGGGATGAGCCCCCCTTTGTGGTGCCCCAAATTTTTGTGGATTATGGAAGCCGAAGAACATCGTATGCTTCCGCGTCCGATCACATGATGCTGGGCGCATTGGCTCTTGACCTTCGGAGGTCATCTGGAAGTAGTGCTGGCAGCAGACGGACTTCTTTAGCTTCTGATTCTGACAGGTGAGTGTGTTTGTCTGTGTGTACGGGCACCGTAAATTGTGAGATTCGAGACATCCTCTGTACTAGTTACTTCAGGTTAGGCAATCTTGCTGATCAGTAATGACAAAATGACAGATTTCTATGGTAGTCTCACAGCAATCATGCACTGTTCTGAGACGCATGTACTCTGTCAAAGGGCAGCTATATGAGTGTACAGGGCAGCTATACGATAGTACAGGGCAGCTATACGAGTGTACAGGGCAGCTATACGAGTGTACAGGGCAGCTATACGAGTGTACAGGGCAGCTATACGAGTGTACAGGGCAGCTATACGATAGTACAGGGCAGCTATACGAGTGTACAGGGCAGCTATAGGAGAGTACAGACAGCTATAGGAGAGTACAGGGCAGCTATAGGAGAGTACAGAGCAGCTATAGGAGAGTACAGAGCAGCTATAGGAGAGTACAGGGTAGCTATAGGAGAGTACAGGGCAGCTATAGGAGAGTACAGGGTAGCTATAGGAGAGTACAGGGTAGCTATAGGAGAGTACAGGGCAGCTATAGGAGAGTACAGGCAGCTATTGGAGAGTACAGGGCAGCTATAGGAGAGTACAGGGTAGCTATAGGAGAGTACAGGGTAGCTATACGAGTGTACAGGGCAGCTATAGGAGAGTACAGGCAGCTATAGGAGAGTACAGGGCAGCTATAGGAGAGTACATGGTAGCTATAGGAGAGTACATGGTAGCTATAGGAGAGTACAGGGCAGCTATAGGAGAGTACAGGGCAGCTATAGGAGAGTACAGGGTAGCTATAGGAGAGTACAGGGTAGCTATAGGAGAGTACATGGTAGCTATAGGAGAGTACAGGGTAGCTATAGGAGAGTACATGGTAGCTATAGGAGAGTACAGGGCAGCTATAGGAGAGTACAGGGCAGCTATAGGAGAGTACATGGTAGCTATAGGAGAGTACATGGTAGCTATAGGAGAGTACATGGTAGCTATAGAAGAGTACATGGTAGCGATAGGAGAGAACAGGGCAGCTATAGGAGAGTACAGGGCAGCTATAGGAGAGTACAGGGTAGCTATAGGAGAGTACAGGGCAGCTATAGGAGAGTACAGGGCAGCTATAGGAGAGTACAGGGTAGCTATAGGAGAGTACAGGGTAGCTATAGGAGAGTACAGGGCAGCTATAGGAGAGTACAGGGCAGCTATAGGAGAGTACAGGGCAGCTATAGGAGAGTACAGGGTAGCTTTAGGAGAGTACAGGGTAGCTATAGGAGAGTACAGGGCAGCTATAGGAGAGTACAGGGTAGCTATAGGAGAGTACAGGGCAGCTATAGGAGAGTACAGGGTAGCTATAGGAGTGTATAGGGCAGCTTCTATCCAGAAAGCCCAGTCTGGTACCAACTCCTTCCCTATAAGCACAGACACCCCCCCCCCCCCAAACCCTCATCCCCCCCCCCCCCCGCCCCAAAAAGAAAATTATATCTGACGCCACTCTAGGTAATTTGGGACCAAATGTCGCCACTAAGATGTTGTGTCTATTCTGGAACCCCTCCCAAATACCTAAAGCATAATTAGCAGAAACTGATCCAGTAGCTGCTCACACCTCCAGTGGGGACCGTTTTTCTTTTCTAAACATGGGTAGTTAGTAGCAACGACCTTCTCTAGCACCTTGCCTCAAGTATCGCATGAGGTCACATTGGTACTGTAGGAAATCATCTCTGACTGACTTTCTCAATATCAACTCTATGACCAAGTGCCTTTATAATACACGACACACTACTGTACTTCCAAGACAAAGTGCCTTTATAAGACACAACACACTACTGTACTTTCAAGACAAAGTGCTTTTATAAGACACGACACACTACTGTACTTCCAAGACAAAGTGCCTCTATAACACGCAGCACACTACTGTACTTCCACGACAAAGTGTTTCTATAAGACACGACTCACTACTGTAATTTCAAGACAAACTGTTTCTATAAGACACGACACATTACTGTACTTCTTTGACCAAGTGCCTCTATAAGACACGACTCATTACTGTACTTCCTTGACCAAGTGTTTCTATAAGACACGACACATTACTGTACTTCCACGACAAAGTGTTTCTATAAGACACGACTCACTTCTGTAATTTCAAGACAAACTGTTTCTATAAGACACGACACATTACTGTACTTCCTTGACCAAGTGTTTCTATAAGACACGACACATTACTGTACTTCCTTGACCAAGTGTTTCTATAAGACACGACTCACTACTGTACTTCCTTGACCAAGTGTTTCTATAAGACACGACACACTACTGTGCTTCCATGATAAAGTGCCTCTATAAGACACAACATACTACTCTACCTCCGTGCTCATGGGGGAAGAAAGGTCGTACAAGACATTCTGCAGACTGACCGCTTGTAGCTCGGGTGCTTGGATTTATGTTGACATTGCGTGCAGAATCTACGTATACATCTGTCCCTGGACACTGGCTTCTAGACTTGGAGTCTAGTGTGTGATTTATTACAGGTTCATATTTCTGTATTGCAAGTTACGGACTTTCAACAATATCCCCACCACTACCACGATCACTACCACCACCACAATCACCCCCACCACAATCACCACCACCACAATCACCACCACCACCACAATCAGCACCATCGCCACAATCACCACCTCCACCACAATCACCACCACAATCACCACTTCCACCACAATCATTACCATCGCCACAATCACCACCTCCACCACAATCAGCACCATGTCCATAATCACCACCTCCACCACAATCACCACCACAATCACCACTTCCACCACAATCACCACCATCACGATCCTCATTCTTATCATGACCAATATCACTATCTAGTGTTCCACATTTCCATCATTAGTTTCATTATTTTCATCATCACAAACTCATCATGTTCATCATCTTTGTCATCGTCATCACCATCTTCATCATCCTCTTCATCATCATCCTCTTCATCATCATCCACACTTCCCCAATACCATTATTTTTATCATAACCATCTTCATAACTGTCAGATTTTAATTTCTTATCAGACATGATGAGGTTTGTCGCTGACGAATATTATCAGTCGTGAAAGGTTCATGTTGAGCGATAGGAGCATTGTAAAAGTCTGTTTTTCCCGTGATTTGAGATTGTTGATCGCATGGTAAAAAAAGTAAAGGACCCTTTTCCACGCCTTTAGGCGTATAGGGCATGTAGGGCTGGACCTATATTTTTATAGACCAACCGGTACAAGATGGGTGATGTGATCAGCATCACGCCGGCCACCTTTACTTCCCCATGACAGCCATCCTGGTACCCATTTTAGGCTGGGTCGACCTGCGACGTCCCATAAGTAAAGTAAAGTAAAGATCCCTTTACACGCCCTTAGGCGCATCGGGCATATGGGAAGAGCACTACAGACCAATCGGCACTCGGTGGGTAATGTGGTCAGCATTACACCGTCTTTACTTCCCCAGGACAGCCATCCTGGTACCCACTTTAGGCTGGGTCGATCTGCGACGTCCCATACCACGATAAAAATCCACGCAGCCCGCAGTGGGTTTCGATCGCGGAACGTTGGATCACGAGTCGGACTAGCAAGGCCTTAGCCACGGACGCCGCTCTACAGCACTGTAAACTGCTGTACATGTGGACAACTAAAGGTTACTCTTCCAATCCTTCATGCGTATTGGGCATATAGGGTTAAACCTAAATTTTATACACCAATCGGTACTCGGTGGCTGTTATGGTGAACGTAACACCGACCGCCTTTACTTCCAAGGACTTTGATATTCATTTAGGCTGGTCGACTGGGAGCCAGGGTCAATTGTGAAAATGTCCGTCTCCGCCAAGATTTGAACCAACGACATTCGGATACGTAGGTCAGCGTCTACCCAGTACACCACGACGGCTCCTAAAAATGTTCAGAATTCTCCTGCAGAAGTTTTCATGGTAGAGAAAAATCAGCGCTTGCTAAAAAACGTATGTCGCTGTGGTTTTTATTTAGGGTGTTTGTAAAGTCTCACCACACTTTGTGTGCAGAGTAAATGTTAAAAACAAAGTATTTAACGTTAAAAAAAGAAAAACTGCTAAAAAGTCATTACATTAGTTACAATAGTCCCTGCTTTGGTCTAACACTGTTCTATGGATGCTGGAGATGATAATGAAATATTCATTATAACTGGTGTTGGAAATGTCCACCACGGGCTTCAGGTCATGGCTATACACGCCTCATAATATTGTCTCAAACGTGGTGTTATTTGTTTTCTTGAATGGTAATTCTGATTGCTTTTCCCCCAGTTTCTTAATTGTGTGTACAATGTTTTGTAAACGCTTTCTGCCAAGAACAGCATATATAACAATCTAATGGAGTTTAATCTCGAGAATGATCACTCTAAATTCACATTATATTATTATATTTGTTCGGCCGAAGAAACAAAGACTTTCTGTCTTTGATTTTAGGGTTTTGAGTATAAAGAATTACTCCATCAGACAACAACCATTCAATGAATACTGCTTAAAGATTGCGTGTGGAGCATCTTTTTGATGAGGTCATGTACTTGAATTCTCATATTTGTTCTACACACACAGTGTAGTGAGACTTTACAAACACCCTGTACATTTAAAGCGTAAAAAAAAAAAAAAAACGACGAAGAAGACGTTGGATTTACATAAGGATAAAAAACTATTCATCATTTCTGAAAGGAGTGAGGCCGATTTAGCTGTTACAACTATTTTTTTACGTTTATGTGTCGCAGGAAAGGATTAGGTTCTGGGAAGCGCAACTCAAGACGGTTGCCCAACTCTTGGCAAAATGGGAAACCATTATTTAATAACCAACATGGTTCCACGATTTTTTCTAAGCTATGAATGACGTCATAAGTTGGCATTTACAAAAACATGCAGGAAATATCGTTGATAGATGACAGCAACTCATGAAAAAGCCACCATCTTGAATATGTGCAATTGGTCTGATATTCCCAACCCTCCTCCACACCACTGTTTTCTT